AATTAATATTAAAAATAAATAATTATCATCAAATTTTAATTTGTATAATAATTTTGTAAATATTTTTACTTTACAAATACTTTGTCAATTTTTAATAAAATTAATATTTAAAAATTACGTTTCAACAATATTTTTCAAAGCGTAATTTTTCAAACAGAAGGACAAAAATTCTAAAATTAAAAGACAACCAGAAAAAAATAGAAATACATTAAAAATTAATACAAATTTCGAAGTTACAAACATATAAATTTATTGCCTTAAATGAAATAAAATAAACTGATGAGATAATTAAAAAAAAATCAATTTCTTTTAGCTCATAAATGACGACTTCAAATATATTATTTGAATCTGAATAAAAAATTCCAATAAAATGCTTGAAGAGAAAATAAAAAAAAATGAGAATCACTTGAGCTAGGAATAATAATTAGTAGTAAATAAAAAATACAGTTCGATGTACTTTGAAAATCTTATAAATATTTCAAAAAAAAAAAATAAAATAAAAAAAGTCCTTATAATTGCGAGCATCATTTCAAAGGATCGCTTCTCATAAACTAAATGCTGGAAATGTCTCGTTGGAGATGAATTTTTTGGGGACTCTTAATGGGTCTTCCGTGGGTGTTTTTTTTAAAGGACTGTTGGGCGTTTTTTGTTAAATCGTCCATTGTCCCATCGCAGTAACATTATTCAACATGTAAAGCAGTAAGGCATTGTTGGATATGTCAGCTGAAAATTTCCGGCCATTCGGACTGCGCGTTTCGAAAGCTTACAAAAATATTTGTCTCTCAAAGCCCGTTTTGCCGAGTTTTCTGTGTTTTCTGTTTTTTTTTTTTTTTTTTGGTTTTTTATCTTTATATATTTTTTTTATTTTATTTAAATTGTTTTTGTTTACTTTTTGCTTTGAAGAAGATTCGTCCAGAAAAAAAGTTTACCTCTACCACTCCTTGAACCGATACGTAGCAAAATTTTTAATTTTCACAAAATTTTTACAAGTGAATTTTATTAATTTTTTCATGAATAATGGTTCCAAGAAAAAAATTTATTCATTTATTTATTTATTCATGAGGTGAAAAAAAAAGATTAAAGAGATAAAATAGCTGTTGTTTTTCAACTCTTTACAAAATTTTTTACCTGATTTGTATTCAGAATTGGAAACAAATTTTTTGCAACAATAAAAACATTTTTTTAATTATTCTAAAATAAAAAATAGTTTATTGATTACAAAAAAAAAGTTACAAAAAAAATATTGTTTTAAAATTATCATTAATTATCAGAAAATAATAATGGAACAAAATTTTTCTTAGCATAATATTTAGTTAAAAATTTGAGTACTTTTGTACCACAGGGATATTTTTTAGTCCATTTTTACAAATAAATAAAAAAAAATTGATGTTAAATAAATAAAAAATTAATTTCTCCCTTTCAAGAACCATTATTCGTTAATTTTTATATGAAAATTTGTTATAAATATTTAGTGTAAATTAGAGAGTTGCTGACTGAAAGCAGTGCGTATTTTCAAGTTCTTTGTGCGTGCTATTTTATAAAGACAGTGAGTAGAATAAAATCCGATGTGTATACCAATTTGAGAATCAACCCCCGCACTCCATATTCAATTTCATTCGCTAATTTTCAAAATAAAATTTTTCACGACATTGGTTCTTCCATATACAATTATTAAAAACATTCACTCTCTCTTTCTCTTTTTCTCTCTTATTATTAAAAATTATAAATAATAATTACAATATACTCCGGTTTTCTCACAATTTTGCTTATAGCTTAGTAATTAATAATTGCAAAGTTCCTCACTTTAAAATAATTATATACCAAAAAGAGAAATTTCTAACTAAATTGAATTTTTAATTTAATTAATTAAATAAGTTGTTATTATTACTATTTTTAATAATTAATTTATTGCATTACTATTCATGAGAAAAACGTTAGACTAAATAAGATTTTAAACTTTGTAATTAAATGAATTTATTAATTTACTAATTTATTAAGTATTATTATTATTGCTATTATTATTACTATTTGAATTATTAATTTATTGTTGCGATTTCCTTGGGAGAAATGTAATTCACGGGAAAAAGGTAAATTACAAGAATTATCGTTTATTTAAAATGTAAAATTATAAAAAAAATATAATAAATTAATAATATAAAAATTCTGAGATAAATTATTATAAAATTTATCATTATAAATAAATATTAGGTACAAATAAATTGTTATAAAATTTATAATTAGAAATATAATTTTAAACAAAAAAGCAATTTTTTTAATTCGTTAAAATACTTAAAAATACTACATTTCTTCACAGAATAGATTTTTTATTGTTTGGTGCTAAAATTTTGTTTTATACCTCGATTGTTAAATTACGAATTATAATTAAAAATATATTTTTTTCAATTAGTTACAATATCAATAATTATATAGAAAAAGTTTTTTTCGATCAGGCGAAATATCACTTTTTTAATCTTTTTTTTTATCTAATTCATAAAGTATAAGGAAATTTATTTATCAATTAATATTATATGAATAACAGTAATAAAAAATAATAAATTAATGAATAATACTGAATAAATATTATATTTATATTATATTTTTGGGTAACGTTGCAAATATATGTAATAAATAATAATAATAATAATCCAAGTGTTGAAAACTATGAATAATTATGTATCGTAAAATGCAAATTTTGGTCTTTAATTCAAAATTGTACAAAAAAGCAAAATATTTTCAAGATTTTTTTTTAATTTTGCAAAAATGAGGAACTTTGCAAGTTTATTGCACTACTTTGGCACATTTCCAACTTAATGGTCCTAGTAAAAGATAGTAGATAATATAACTATACATTTATACACTCGCGCATAGGCATTTTCTCAAAAAAAATTTGCTTGGCTTTCTTGTACGTTTTTTCTGCAATTATTTTTCACATATTGCACTAATTTTGCAGTAACCAGCATTGTCGAAAAATTGCCAATTATCGTCTTTCTAATTATTAATACAAAACTTAACTTACTTCAAATAATTACATTCTTAGGACCAAGTTTTCTTTCTATAAATTTAAATACAGTGACTACGAACGTAAATTTTTTTTTTATCAAATATCAACATTATTAAAAATATAGGAATAATATTAAAATATAGGAATAATATTTAAAAATATAGGAATAATAGTAAAAATATAGAAATTTACAAAATAATAGACTAATGAATTAATTACAATAACAATTAATTAACAGAATTAATTAATTAATTAATTGAATTAGTTAATTTAACAATTTTAATCGAATACTTCAGAATTAGTCTCTATACTATCCATATAATTGAAATAAACGTTTTCAATTACATAATAACAATAATTTATTTACAATTTTTCTATTTAAAAATTTTTTTAAAAACTATTTTCAATATACTTTCAACTTGTAAAATAACTTATAAGAAAATTATGTATATAAATAAATAAATAATTTTTACAATTCTATGTTCAATTTTCAGTTCTTCTTAAAAAGAGATTAAAAATTATAAATCAGTAATAATAAATTTAACATAATAATATATTTAATAATACAGTTATAAATAATTTTTAATGTCCTTTTTCAAATTTAATAATATAAGTTTTTTAACATATATATATAAATATAATTTAAATACTATAAATAACAATATTTTCATTACTTAGACGATAATCGGCGATTTAACGTTTCTGACATAATCAATATTTCAACTACGGATTATAATAATATTGCGAGCTAAAATGTAACTTTTTGAAAATATCGTATTATATATATTTATTTTTTTTTCTTTACTTTTGCGTGTGTACTTTTCTTGAATTTTTCTAAATACATTTGCAAAAATTTCGCTTTTAGCATATTTTACAATTCCACTACTGCAATTTTTTCGGCAATATCAGGTATTTATATTCATATACTATATATAATATTTAATCTATATTATATATAATATATATCTATATATATATATAATTTATGTATCAGTAATTCAGTACTAATATTAATATACTTTGTAAGCATCAACAATTCCCATAATAAGTCTATTATATTGTATACGACACGTGGCACACGATGAAAATCATAAGAGTAAAATATTTATTTGAATTTTTCAATTTTTACAAGAAACGACAAAAAAAAAATGAAAAGAAACGGAAAATTTACAGTAACAAATTTTTCAATTAAATTCGTTTTCTATTTTTTTAACACTATTTATCAGAATTAATTTATTTTCTCCATTTTAAAACAATTAATTCTTTACTCTATTTTTCAGAATCAATTTAATTTTTTTTTATTTTTCAAAGCTTTTATTTATTCTGTTAATATTTTTCTTTCTTTTAATTAATTACTGTTAATATTCTTTTTATTCATTTTCATTCATTTTCATTTATTTTCATTTATTTTCAGAATAAACGGTTATTATTATTTTCATTTTTAATTATTTATTTTTTTATTATTCTAGGTGGAAAAATGTTGAAAAATGAAAACTTTAATAATTTTTTACTTCATATGCTTCTCATCAGGTTCCAAGAAACTTTTTTTTTTAACAGATTAGGTCAACAGTGAATAATATACATTTTCTCGTTAAGAAATTCAAATAATCGTGTGCGTAAACTGTGTCATTTTTTTTCTCTCTTTGCTTCAATAAGTTAATTGAATCGTCAAAGGAAAATTAAAATTTAAATCATGAGAATGTAGTAAAATACGAAAATTCAAATAAAAATAATGAATTATTATTTTTAAATTATTTCCATAGTTTGGAAAAAAGTAAAGCGAAACAAAAAGAAGTTCAGGGGGGAAAATTAATTTTATTAATAAAAATTTGATGACAAAATGAGAATATAGAAAAGAGAATAAAAGAGAAAGGTGTGGAAAAAAATTGATCTTTCAAATGATGGTTAATAAATAATAAAAAATGTTAAAAATAATAAATAATAAAAATAATAAATAATGAAAGTAATAAATAATAAAAGTAATAAATAACAGAAATAATAAAGAATAAAAATAATAATAATAAAAAAAAATAATAAATGTATAATGAAAGAAGAAAAAAATAAAAAAATGTTGGCACAGTAGACGCATTTTTTCTTTTACTCGTCAATCATATTCACTGAGTCTTTATAATACTGAATGCAAATTGTTACCACAGTTTATTATAATATTTCTCTCTCCTTCTCTCTTTCTCTCTCTCCCTCTCATCCATTATCACTTAAAATGTAGGATCTTTAAACTTAAATTTTATAGGTAACTTTGTTTCTTCATTTATAAGTCTCTTTAATATATACGATTAAAAGCTTCAAAATCAGATTTAGCGTAAATTTTTCCCACCACCAGGGTCAGTTTTTGTTTAGCAATATTGTTCATATTTATTTATATTTTTTTACAGTACCTTGTTTCTTGAGAGTCTTTTGGCATGTTGTTAATATATCATGACAATAATTGGCGGTCATACAGCTTCAGAATTAAAGAAGAAATAATTTCGTTTTATTTTCCTTCTTCTTATTATTCTCTTCCGTTTACCGTCGGCTGTGTGTCTCTTTCTTTTTTCTTATGATTTATTTTGTACTTTTTTTCACATGCTTCTCTTTTTGGATATTTGAAGAATCAAATGAAGTGTCTCCTTATCTCCTTGTGGTTCTTTTTTTTATTCTCACGAAAGGGGAATTTTTTTTCTCTTTATGGTTTTTCATTCTTGAAAAGGAATTTTTTCTCCTTGAGATTCTTTATTCTGACCAAGTGGAAAATTTTCTGTTTTTAGTTTTTTGTTCTTTTCCAGCTTTTGGTTTTTCTTTCTGACAAAATAGAAATTTTCCTGTTGTTGATTTTTCATTCTGGCAAAATAGAAATTTTTTTGTTTCTGGTTTCTCATTCTGCCAAAATAGAGTTTTATTTTTACAGAAAAGAATTTTTTCTCCTGGTTTTTATAATTTACAAAACAAATTTTACTCTTTCCCATTTTTACATTCTTTCTGTTTAAAATCATAAAAATTGTTTCTAATTTTATTTGAATTATTTTTTGTGTTTATTATATTCTCGAATATATTTTCTTCTTCCCTCTTTTCTTGCTAATAATAATTTCTTCCACCTTCTTGATTATTTTTCATGTTGAATTTTTGTTTCACTAGTTGGAGTATTTCTTGTCCTCTTATTACCAGTCTTTTTCTTGGAGATTCTTTAAACGATTCTTTCTTTTTTTTCTCACATTTTTTGTTGTTGCTCTTCACGCTTTTCTATTTTTGCTTCGTTTGCTAATTTCTTACTTCTTTTCTTTTCTTTCTTACTTTTTTGTTCTTGGTTTTGTTTCAGCGAACTCGTTTCTATTTAACCACATGACTAGGAGATAAAGAAGTAGAAGTGGAATTCTCATTTCGAATCCAATCACTTTTTCATTCGGCACCTTCTTGTTCTTCAGCATCCAAATCGACTTTTCTCAAAACAAGTACTCTGGGGGCTCTTTGCTATGGTACATCAGACTCCGAGGTGGGAGATTCCTGCTACGCTTCTAAGAAAATCAAGGCTGTTGGTTTCGGCTCCAAGTTACTCTTCTTGGCCTCAACAACAAGGAACTCGATGTCGTTACGATCCCTTCGCGCCCAGGACTCGGCTATCAGTCTCGCCACTTCCTGATGATGTAGTCCTGAAACATTTTATTTAATATAGTCCAACTTTACCCAAATGAGATTCACAAAAAATTACTTTCTTTATTTTTACTTAATTGTAGAAAAATTAATTCTATAAAAAACTGAAGAAAAAAAAATTCCAAAAATCTGGGTATATTATTAATAATTGTTGTATTGCCGTAATCTGTTTACAGTTTTAAGTTAGTTGTTGATTGCTTTTTTGTTTCCTAACTTTTTTTAAAATTTTTCTTTTTAAATATTTTCAATTTTAAAATTAATGTATTAAAATCATTGAATTCTTGCAAAGAATCTTATGAAAAAATTTCAAGAGTAAATATTTAAAAATAATTAAATTCTTTCGAGAAATTCAATTAAAGTTGTTTCGAAAATTATTGAATTTCTGTAAAGAATATTATTAAAATTAAGCATATTTAAAATAATTGTATTCATCAGAAGAATACAATTGAAATTTTTTTGAAAATAATTGAATTCTTTCAATTTTTTTGACGAATATATTTAAAAATTGCATTAAAAGTCATTTAATTTTCATATAGAATTTTTTTAAAATATTTTGAGAATAATTGAATTATTTTTAAAGAATTTTAAATTCTTGTTGAAATTGAATTTTATGGAAATTTTTTAAAATAATTAAATTCTTTTGTGTAATTTTATTTAAATTGGATTAAAAATAATTTAATTTCTGCAAAGAATTTTAGTATTTATAAAAAATAGTTGAATTGTTTCGAAGAATTTATTAAAATTTTAAGAAATAATTGAATTTTATGGAAATTTTTAAATTAATTCGAAGGATATATTAAGATTTTAGAAAATAATTGAATTCTTTTGAAAAATTTTATAACTTATTAAGAAAAAAATTAAATTCTTTCGTGAAGTTTTATTGGAAATAATTGAATGTTTGCAAAGATTTTACTATTTAAAAAATAATTTAATTCTTTAGAAGGATTTATTGAAATTTTAGAAAATAATTCTTGAAAATAATAAATTCTAAAATAATAATTCTTCTAATTGAATTCTTTCGTGAAATTTTATTAAAATTTTGTTAAAAATAATTGAATTTTTGTAAAAAAAATTTACTATTTATAAAAATAATTGATTTCTTCCATAGAATGTTATTATTTATATAAAAATAATTGAATTCTTGCGAAGAATTATATTAAAATTATTGAAAATATAAATTTTGTTTTTCCCTGATAGATCGCTTTTTCTAAAAAAAATATTTTCTAATCCTTTTTGTCTAAAAAAGTGATTTCTAATGAAATCTGTTTTTAAAAAAAAGTTTTTCTAAAAAGTTATGATTCCTAATATTTATTTTCCTAAATTTTGTAAAATTCTATAATTTTGATAAATGTTAGAAAATTGTAAACAAAATTGTGTTTAAGAAATAGAAACTATTTTGCATATTTTCTGTTTCCTAATCACAATTTTGTTTACAAAATTAAAAGTTTCTTTTTGAAAAAGTAGACAATATTTTATAAAATTACTATTTCTTATCACAATTTGTTAAAAAAATTATATTCTTTTTTGAAAAAAATAATAATTTGCATCATTTTTATACCAAAATTTCCAAAATTAATTTATTTATAAAACATTTTTTTTGAAAATTTTAAATATCTTTAGGAAAAAAATCCCTATGATTAGAAAAAAAATTTTGAGAAAATCAAAACCAAAACTTCATAGATTCGATTCTTTTAATTCTCTAATGAAGAGATGTTTGTTCTTTAACAAATTCAATTATTTTCAATTCAATTTTACAAAATTTAAATCAATCTGACAATTATATAAAAAAAACTAATTTTTAAATTTAAGTATTTTTAAAGAATTGAATTCAAATTTTTCACAATATATTTAATGTTTTTATAATTTTTAAATAAAATTATTTGATATTTACCTAAACAATTTTTTAAAAAAATATACAACTATTATTAATTTCTTCACAGAAATTGGAATTTTCAAAAGTTTTAATTTAAAACCTTCTGAAATTCGATTATTTCTTAAAATTGCAATGATTTTTAACTGAAATCTCTTTTAAATATTCAATTACTATTAATTTCTCGCAGAAATTAAAAATTTCAGCCTTCTGAACTTCAATTATTTCTGAAAATCTTAAGTTTTCACCTCAAATCCCAATTTTAAGTTAATTATAATCAATACCTTTAAGAAAATTATTTTAGAATTTAATTATTTAAAATAAAATGTATTTTTTTACGGAAATAAGAAAAAGATGGTGTTCTTAAAGAGTTCTAAACCTTCAAATGTACCTACGAAATTTATTTATTTAATTTTAAAATTAAATTTTTATAACAACAATTTTGAGTCACTTTAAAAATAATATTTATAAAGTTTCTAAATCTAAAATGTAAGTCTTTAATTTTTATTGCAATCAATAATATATGAAAATACTTTTAATCAAAAAGTATTTTTTTTCATTTGAACGAATAAAACTTGTGGATTATAAAAAGTTAGGATTTTATAATTCATTGTAATTCAAAATTTTTAAAAGTGAACAAAAGTTCTAGGATAATTGAAGATTTTTTTAAACTTTTTAAAAAAATTTTTTTTGAATTCTACCGAAAAATTCAATTAAAATTGCAGATATTGGAATAATTGAATCCCTGCTAAGAATTTTATAATTTATGAAAATAATTAAATAATTGAATTCCTGTGAAGGATTTTATTAAATAAGTTTTGAAAATAATTAAATTCCTGCGTTGGATTTTATTTACTTTTTTTTAAATAATTGAATTGTTTCGAAGAATTCTATTAAAATTTATGAAAAAATTGAATTTTTTTTGAGAAATTTAGTTAAAAAGAATAATTGAATTCTTATAAAAAAATGTTATGAAATTTTTCAAAAATAATTCAATTCTTTGAAAAAAATTTATTAAAATTGTATTGAAATTGAATTATATTCGTAAATAATATTATTAAAATTTTTGATAATAATAAATAATAATAATTAGTTAAGGGCATTTGAACCATTATGACGTCATAGGTTCTGCAAAGCATGTGTTTTAAGGCTGTGACGTCATCATGGTTCAAATGCCCTTAATACATTAATTTTTTTAAATTTAAATCTAAAAGGTTCTAAACTTTTGAAATTAAAAAGTAAATAGCAAATAAAAAATAGTATTGATATAAAAAAATATAGAAATAAATAAAGGAGAATAAAAATAGTAATTTGTTGTTTAATGCAGTAATGAAATAGTGATTGAGACATTATTGAGGGTATTAACCTTCGACCTTGTGTCCGTCGACTTCGAGAATGAGTTGACCCACCTCGAGGCCACCAGCTTCATAAGCTGCTCCATTGTCCTGAAACATATTGAAAACCAAAAAGATCTTAATGCATTATACAATTCGCAGCATATACATATAACTCTTCTATTCTTGATCAATAGAAAGACGTCAATTTAAACTTCTTCGAGTTTCATATAAATGATCCTTAAGGGCAAGTGCCATTGATCTACTAACACCAGATGATAATGCTTCTTCTCAGACATTATCGTCAGAAATTGACATACATTGTACAATTTTTTTTTCTTTACTATTATTATTATTTTTTTTCTTTTTTTCTATGACTAAAGAAATTAAATTCTTTATAAAATCGCCAGTATATTTATTATTGAAAAAAATTACAGAAATATTACTAAAAAAATTATTTACCCATAACAAATAGTTTCTAATGCATTTTTATCTTTTTTTTAAATATTATTTTCAATAACTAAAAATATTAAATTCTTTATTATGAAGTCACCATTATTTTCATTGTTAAAAATTACAGAAATATCACTCGAAAAATATTTACTATATTGAAAGAGTTTCAAACAAATTTTCCTCTTTTTTTATAAGAACCAAAAAATTAAATTTTTCATGAAATCACGATTATTTTTATTTATTAAAAATTACAGAAATATTACTAGATAGACAAATATTTATTTATTTACTTATAAAAAACGTTGAAAACAGAATTTTTTTTCAAAATCTTGCAGGACTATTTTTATTTTGAATTTATTTTTATTCATTTCAATAAATAACAATTCAACAAAATATTTCATTTTTCCTGTAATTTAAATATTTTTCTAAAAATATTACTTAACATTTTTTTTTTTTTGAAAGGATTAAAGAATATTTTAAAGGAGTTACTATTATAACTCAGGACCATTTGTACTTTTAATATTCAATTTATAAATTCAATTTTTATTTTAAATATTCACGATTTAACAAAAAATTTTTATTTATTATTAATAAATTAATAAATTTTATTTAAACCAAAAAAACAGTGCTTGCATCCAGGAAAAAATATATTTGACTCAGAGTCTACTAAATTATTTATTTAGAACAAATTAATAAATAAATAAATTAATTTTATTTAAACAAAAAATTCTGTGTTTGAAGCACACAGGAAAAAAATACATTTGACTCAGAACCTACTAAAATATATTTATTTGGAACAAAGTAATTAATAAATTTTATTTAAATCAAAAATTCAGTGCTTGCACCCAGGAAAAAAATATATTTGATTTATTTACTTTGTTTAATTAAAAAATTTAGTGTTTGTACTAATATTTTTTTCCTGGGTGCAAATACTGGATTTTTGCTTGAAATAAAACATTTCTCTGGGTGTGAATAAAAATACGTTTTGAAAACAAAATAAAAAGAAAGAAACTCACGTGAATGTTGATGATCCTGGGCAGTGGATGCTTGGTGTTCGCACCACCTTCAATGGCGATGCCCAAAATGGATTTAGTCTTTTTGACTGTTATTCTCAGATTACCCTGATGATCGGGCACAACTAGAGCAGCGTCCTCGTCTCGCCTTTCGGAAAGATCGCCTCTCGCCAATCTCTGGGCACTGTGGTGTCTTCGGGGTGGTCCACCTGAACCTGCACTTCCAGTGGTTCCACTTCCGGAACCACTTTCGTCGAGTAGCTGTGCGCCTTGCATGTCAAAGCTGCGCGATAGCTTGTGTGCGAGTTCCTGAAACGAGTAAATCTTCATTCGTCTTTTTTGTAATAAACTGTCACTCAACTAAAACTCCTTTCTACCGTCACAGCGGTAATACATGCCTCTCGTCACTCTCTTATAAATAATCATTATTATTCCCGACAATAAAAAAAAACCAAACAAATGTTTATTTGTTTATTCAACATTTTTTATTTAATTTGTTTATTCAACATTTTTTACTTAATTTTTATATTAAAAATTAATAACAAAATATTAACAAGAGATTGAAAATAAACTAAAAGAAAATTAACACACAAACAAAATAAAAAATAAAAAAAGTAAATAAAAAGAGTTAAAAAATAAACTAAAAAAATTAAAAAATGAAACTAAAAAATATCAGGAAGAAAATTAAAACAAAATTCAAAAAATCTAAAACAAAATTATAAAAAAATAAACTAAAAATAGTTAAAAAAAAATCAACTAAAATAAATTCTAAGTAATGTAACATAAAGTTAAAACGAAAATTAAGAAACAATTTTTAAACAATAAACTAAAACTAAATTCAAAATTAACATATAAAAATTAAATTTAAACATAAACTAAAAAAATTTTTAAGTAAACTAAAATGAAATTGAAACGTAAACGTAGGAAGATAAGAATTTAGGAACAAAATTAAAAATAAACTAAAACTGAATTTAAAATTAACATAAAAAAGATTAAAACATAAACTAAAAAAAAATTTTTAGGAAACTAAAATAAAATTCAAACGTAAATAAAGAAAATTGCCAAGTAAACAAAATAAAAATAAAACAAAATTTAAAATTGGACTACAAAATTAAAAAATAAACTAAAAGAAATTAAAAAATGAACTTACAAAAAAATTAAAACATAAATTAAAAAAATTTTTTGCAGGAAACTAAAATAAAATTCAAACGTAAATAAAGAAAATTACTAAGCAAACAAAATAAAAAATGAAACAAAATTTAAAATTGGACTAAAAAATTAAAAAATAAACTAAAAGAAATTAAAAAATGAACGTACAAAAAAATTAAAACATAAACTAAAAAAAATTCATAAACTAAACTAAAATAAAAAAACGTATAGATAACGAAAATTAAGAATTATGACATTTTTAATCATGAAAAAATAAACTAAGTATAAAAACTATTTTTGAAAATTATTTACCATTTTTTTCCATAATATTTGATTATTAAAAGAAAAAAAGTTAAAAACTTTATGGACTTTCTTGTGTTACGAAGAAATCATAAATTGAAAATAACAATTAAATTATCAATAATAAATCAATAATAACTTAATAATTATTAGAATTGTTTATTGCAACTCAAACAAAAATTTAAAATTCCTGCTTTTTACTTGACAAAATAATTTCGAAAAGAAAATAAATATTTTTCAAAAATAATTTTTAGTTCTTTTTTCGTTTACTCCAAATTTAGATAATTTCTCGAGAACATAATATTTATTATACAAATAATGAAAATTAATAAAAAATAAAAATAAACATTTTTTCGATAAAAGACCGTATATTAAAAAAAGAAACAATTAAAATTAATAGTAATTGTTTAGAGTTAAAAAATGCAATAAAAAAGTTAATTATTTTCCTCAAGTTTAACCATAAAAAATAAAAGTTACAAAAGTTGTATGACCGCTGCGACGTAAATGAACTGACATGAAGCATTTTTTCTTCTTTTCTTGTTTTTTGACACACGAACATACGTCAAAATAATGCTTATGCGTTCTACGAGTCAACAAAATTTTGTTTTCAAAAAAATCATATAATAATACCTATATACATTGGAAGAGAAATCGAAAAATAATTGTAATTTTTGAAAAATCGAAATCAAATCGAAATAAAATTATTCGAAAATTGTGTAATTAATATTCTGTAAAAATTATGTAATATTAAAAAAAAGAAGAAAAATGAAATATTCATACAAATTAAATACAGATTTATTCCTATATAAACTTTTTGAATTTAGTAAATTTTGTTTTATTTTCTAATTTTCTAAAATTTTTGAATAAAAAGAAGGTGATAAAAATTTTAAATAGCTAGTTGAATTATAAATTAGAACATTAATATAATAAATAAGTATATAAATTTATAAATAAATAAAAAAGTAGATAAATTTATAAATACAGAAATATAAATAATTAATAATGCAATAAATACTAAAAATAAAAAAAACACTAAAAATAAACTAAAAATTATGTAATTAATAATTAACTCATGAATAACAAATAAATAACTAATAAATATTTTATAAATAATTCACTAACAATTAATATCTAATTAATAACTTAATAAACAAATGATATAGATAAATAAAGAAATAAATATAAGTTTAAAAAATACACGAATAAATAATAAAAAAAAAAAATTTTTCTTTAAATTTTACAAAAACTATTTTTAGACTTTTGGAAATTAAAATTCAGATTCTTACCATTTGCAAAGTAATTTTGTAAAATATTTAAAATTTTCAACACAATTTTTTAGAGTTTTCTTCTAAATTATTTAAAATATTACTTTAAATAATTTATTTAAACTAATTTTATAGAGAATCAGTTGAAAGTATCTAATTTTAAATAATTTAGCAGCTTGTACCACTGAAAAATTACAACAGTTTGCAAAAATTACTCTGCAAATTAAAGGAATTCGAATTTTTTAAATTTAGTCTATCAAAAAGTACAAGAAGTTTATAATAAAAATTTAAAACATATTTATTTCTTTGTTATATCCTAGAGTACAAAATGATTGGTTGCAAAATGATTAATTTTCGACATTAAAAATAGAAAAATTAATTTTTTTGTTTAGAAAAATAATTTAGATTTTGAAATAGAAAAAAAATGAAAAATTTAGAAAAAATATAATTCAAAATTAATTTTCTCCATATAGGTATATAAATATATATTTAAAAAAATATATAGACAAAATTTTGAAAAAAATAATAAATATAAAAAAATTATTTATAGAAATTAAAATTATAATTTGAAATTAAAAAAAAATTAGTGGCTAATTTGGAAAAAATTTTTAAAAATAAGTATTTATTTATTTATTTCAAAGTTCTGTAGACAAGAAAAATTGTATCTATAAAAAAATAATGAATTTAAAAATAAAAAAAAATAAGAAATTGTAATAATATTAATTACACATTTTTTGAATAATAATGCAATTTCGATTTCAGATGATATAAGAAATATATTTAAATGTATATAGAGATATATTAGATGTGAAATATATAAGAATCATGCTTGCTGATAACTAGTAGTGGTACAGGGTGTTGGTGGTGCTCGGAGAGTGGTGGTGGTGGTGTTTTTTTTTTCATCATTCATTGTCACGTCACATCGAGTTTTTGACACTCCAAAAACAAATCACAAGAAATACACTTCTATTGAATATTTCAAAAAATTCTCATCACAAATACTATTTTTCCATCGAATCACATTTTGGAAATAATTTTTTTTCTTCATGCCTTTTGCAATTTCAATAAGAAAAGAAACAAAAAATCAGGAAATAAATTTTTTCAAATCAAACGAATTTATAATTTCAAATCCGGAAAAAAGAAAATTAGAAAAGACAAAAAATTTAATTTAATTATTATTGCTTGTATAACAAAAAACGATTCAATTTTTATCAAACTAAAATTTAATTATGATCGAAAATTAATTTAATTTTTAACAAATTGTAATGTAATTTTTATTCAAAAAATAATTCAATTCATTAAAAAAAATGTAATTCAGAAAAAAATTGAATTCATACAAAAAAACTAGATTCATAAAAAATTTATTTTATAAAGAAATTATTTAACTTATTTACTATTTTTCTATCGAATCACATTTTGAAAATAATTTTTTCTTCGTGGCTTTTATTATATTCAAAAAAAAAGAAAAAGAAGAAGAAAACCAGGAAATAAATTTGTTTATTAAAACAATTGAATGAATTTAAAAAAATTTTAGAATTTTAAATAAGAAAAGAGAAAATTGAAAATTTAAACAATAAAATATATTTGGTTCATTATCAAAAACGATTCAATTCTTTTTTTAAATTTAATTTACTTTTTATCGAAAAATAATTAAATTTTTAAAAAAATTCAATTTAACTTTTACATATTAACAAATAATTTAATTCATAACAAAGAAAGTGAATTCACAAAGAAAAATCAAAATTTAATTTACTTTTTATCGAAAAATAATTAAATTTTTAAAAAAATTCAATTTAACTTTTACATATTAACAAATAATTTAATTCATAACAAAGAAAGTGAATTCACAAAGAAAAATCAAAATTTAATTTACTTTTTATCGAAAAATAATTAAATTTTTAAAAAAATTCAATTTAACTTTTACATATTAACAAATAATTTAATTCATAACAAAGAAAGTGAATTCACAAAGAAAAATCAAAATTTAATTTACTTTTTATCGAAAAATAATTAAATTTTTAAAAAAATTCAATTTAACTTTTACATATTAACAAATAATTTAATTCATAACAAAGAAAGTGAATTCACAAAGAAAAATCAAAATTTAATTTACTTTTTATCGAAAAATAATTAAATTTTTTAAAAAATTCAATTTAACTTTTACATATTAACAAATAATTTAATTCATAACAAAGAAAGTGAATTCACAAAGAAAAATCAAAATTTAATTTACTTTTTATCGAAAAATAATTAAATTTTTAAAAAAATTCAATTTAACTTTTATTAACAAATAATTTAATTCATAACAAAAACAAGTGAATTTACAAAAAAAAATAACTGAATTCATAAAAAAATAGTTTATTTTATAGAAAAGTTTTTTTTTGCAAAGAAATTATTTAATTATTTTGATTAGTAACTCCAAATAATTGAATTGCCAAAAAAAAATTGATTCGTAAAAAAGCAATTTATTTTTTAAAAGAAAATTGTATTCAGATAAAAGTAGTTTATTTTATAGAAAAGAGATTTTGCAAATAAATTATTTAATCACTTTTATTAATAATTCCAAAAATTAGATAAAAAATTGAACTCACAAAC